AAGCGGGCCGCGCCAAAATAGCCGGCCGCGATGCGGACAGCGCGCGTGATAATCTGGTTACCTGGCAGCGGCGGCCGTATAAATAGCGCCCGTTGTTACGACGAGATACGATTGTGTCGGCCGCACCTGTGTCCCGGCAGGGCAGCCGACGGACGGGGAGGGGTCAGGGACGGTGGTGGACGGGGAGGGGTCAGGGACGGTGGTGGACGGGGAGGGGTCAGGGACGATGGTGGACGGGGAGGGGTCAGGGACGGTGGTGGACGGGGAGGGGTCAGGGACGATGGTGGACGGCGAGGGGTCAGGGACGGTGGTGGACGGGGAGGGGTCAGGGACGGTGGTGGACGGGGAGGGGTCAGGGACGGTGGTGGACGGGGAGCGGTCAGGACGGTGGTGGACGGGGAGGGGTCAGGGACGGTGGTGGACGGGGAGCGGTCAAGGCGGCGGATGGGGAGGAGTCAGGGACGGGAAACGGGAAGAGGTCGGGGGCGGCGGCGGACGGGAGAGATCAGGGACGGCGAACAGAGACGGGTCAGAGGCGGCGGTGGAAGGGAAGGGGTCAGGGACGCTGGACGGGGAGGGTTCAGGGGAGGCGGTGGACAGGGATGGGTCAGAGGCGGCGGTGGAAGGGGAGGGGTCAGAAAGGTGCATATTTTTGTGTACCTGGCAGTGACCCGGTTATTGCCGTGCTCTATCTCACAAATCCGCTTCACTCTCAGCTGATGAAGGGAAGTCTCATTTTCTAAATTCGGTTGGGTGGCGATGAGGTTGACCTAACCTGCCTGAAAAAACTGATTTTTGCCAGTATTTCGAGCATTTAAATGTGCATTATCACTATTTATTTCAAATAAATCGTTCAAAAATTGTTTTGTGAAGGAGTGTCTCATTATTTCAAGTCACTGTAAAGTTGTAATATCGTAAGAAGTTCAGAAAGTAGGTGTTATTCACAGACATCTTAACGAGACAGCCCGATATTATCACCGAAACAGCTTTCGTTTGCCACTCATGAGAGGTGGTGCGAGACGCCAAAAGACGGATCATCCGAATAACGTTAAAAATTAGCGCATCCGGCGCTTTGACGCGAGTTGGGAGCTGATTATAAGTACGTAGGCCTGGATCCCAAGGTTGGATCCAGGATCCAATTGCTCGTGGTCATAGGATCCCGCGATCGGATCCTGCCATCTTTTTGGGCTCCAGGCAGATATCTGATGAAACACGAAAGGCTGCGAGTTTGCTGAAATTGATCGACCATGTTAAGCAAAGCCTACGCTTCAAGTATGTGTTAATGACCGTATTTGTTGTCGCTAAATGCAATGGACATCGCGCCAACATTTTTTATGAAAAGGCATTAACGTATATGCTTCAGGAAAAACCACATAAAATGTGCCGAGTTTATTCCTCCACGCGCTTTTTGTGGTGCAACGAATGCAACCAGGTGCTAGTCTAGCCTCATTAATTTTGGGCAAGGTGCCAGAGTGGGAATACGATATGCCTTACGCGAGATACTTTCGAATAGCGGATACCAGAGACGACCACCGGGAGGCGGATGGGGGGGGGGGGGGAGGGGGTCTCTCTCTCTCTCTCCTGTTATTTTGAAATCAAGCCCTATTCGTCGATATTGTGTGAATGCGTCGCGTTGCTTAAATGAGATTTAAATGTCACCCGTCCCCTCCCCAGTTTAGTTCAGTTCAGTTCAGTTTATTGCGGTTACGTCCTGGAATAATTCCAGGCTTTTCGCGAACCAGGTCACGATGAAAACAAAATAAACAGCAGGCAAGGGAAGCAAACTCACAAGCCTCACAATTCAAACAACTAACAGTTCACAAACCAGCGCAGCAACGCGCACTCAACTGAGCTGGTCACCTCGGAGCGGATGGTGCGCCACATCTGCCTCGTAGCGTGACGCTTGTCTCGTGTTTTGTTTGGCGGGTGGCAGACGGTTAAACAATTTCACAGCCTCGTGGCCTAAGCCAGCGCTTCCCATAATGCAATCCTCATTCGTTAGCAGGGCGCATCGGTCCTGGCGGATGGCGTTGTCAAAAGTGCCTTTTACTTCCCATCTTGGTTTATCGGCGCATGGCCATGACCCGCCCTGCCCCCTCCCCAAGTCAAGAGGTTTACACTAGATAGTACGAGGTTGTTGTATTAGATCGCAGGAATTCGTCCAAACCCTCAGCTAATCGGAGACAAATTTAGCATTTGGCCCACCTCCATGAGGAAAATTCCGACTACTTGCCTGGTGCCCAGATCCCACCCACAGCTTAGGGTGACCTCTCCTACCACCCGCGACCCACCGCCATTAACGCAGCCAGCGTTTGTAGCTTCTAGCCCGGTCGGCATCTGCGTGCAGTAACCCAGTGGCCCCTAATGCCGCCGGTCTGGCAGCAGGCGCCCCGCGTGCGGCCAAACCGGCCGGATGAGCGCCGTCCGCTGCGGTCACGGTCGCGCGCCTGACGTCATCGCACCCCGGAACGTGACGTCATCGGCTGCTGACGGTGCAGGGCTTATCGCCGTCAGCACCGGTGCATGTCATGTGAGACGGCTTCTGGGAAATGCTGTATGGCAGGGGCTTGGTTTTGTTGTCCGGTCGGTCGCGTGCTTCAAAGTGAAACGTTCCAGGCCAATCAGTTCAACTACGGCCGGTCGTTCGCAGCTGTTTCCCCCTCGGCAACCAAAAAAATTCTGGTCTCTCTATTTTGTTTTGATGGCGCGAGTTGACAAGCTCAAAAAGTCTAGTCAGAGCCACCTTGCGCCGCTGGCACAAACATTCCTCGCAGCAAGAGCGATCTTCTTCCTCCATGCTGTCCGACGCAAGCGACTCATGACGACCCCTTTCCACAGGACAACGCTACCTGTTGCCTGTCATGTCTGGACGCCTTGACACAGCGCACACGTCATCCCTGCAGAACAACCTGACATTGAGCCTGCTGCGGCGACACTTGGACCTGCTGCTGCGACACTTGGACCTGCTGCGGCGACACTTGGACCTGCTACGGCGACACTTGGACCTGCGCCTGCACTGGAATGTGGTGGCCGCCCCCAGCCCGTCGGCCCTGCGTCCCCTCACGCCACACGCCCACGCCGCGCCCACGCGCCGACGCAAATCCCAAACTGGACACGGCCTCTGCGCGCGAGGTTTTGTCCTGAGCGCCTCCCACTGAGAGCTGCCAAATCTCCGCCCGGCGGCGGCGGCCGACGGGCAGCCGCGATACAGACCGGCTGCCTGCCAGCAGGATAGCGGCGCGGCACACTTGCGCGTGACGGCAGATGTCGACCAGGCGCCCCTGACAGCGGACGCCGTGGCCGTCCCTCATGACGGGTTTTGTCATGTCGTGGGCGCGGTTACCCGCAATACCAATGAGGCCGAGGGCAGGTGGTGGCGGCTGTCCATTCGCCGTGATATGCTATGAGACGCCAGTAAAAGTTGGTCGACATTATGGGCTGCAGGTGTAGATAGGCGGGATAGCTGATGTGACGAAGACCGGATCCCGCCTCTCACTACCTTATGAGCGCATGCTGGCCAGCGGCTGCATAGACCGCCAGGATTTCCACCTGTGGTAAACATCCAGGCATGTGAATGTGAAGGATGCAGGCGCACGCGCGAAAGGCTCCGAACCTGAGATTGATACCCTCCCCAGCCTAGCCCAAGCAAATTTCAAGACCAATCGAGTTGTCGCCCCGAGCGACTGTCGGTAGAATGCGGCATTAATTCAAATAGCTTTCACAGTCCTTGCTCGGCACTAAGGCTTAAAAACCGGTGTGAGCAGTCATGGCACGCCACCTAAACGCACAGGTAAATCCTTGTAACGAGGGTTTTTTTGCTCTATAGGTTCGGAGTAAGGTCGTGGTAACAAGTAAAAACAAACATTTACCTCATCAGTGAATCCGTGTGATATCCTGGTCCGCGTCACTAAACGTTGCATGAGACGCACTTTTACCAAGGTGCATTAACAGTGTTGTAACGATTCGTCTCTCGAGTTTGGAGCACGAGGTTGAATGCATGAGGCTCCTTTCATTCCCCTTGTTTTCATACGATGCAGAGTGACGAAGGTTTCGTGATAATTATTGCACAGGCCTGTGGCATGAACAAGGAAGCCTTGATATTGCCGGCTTCACGACTTTGCATGGTGCACATCGTGGCCTAGAACCACCACATTCTGGACGGGCGAGTTTTGGATAATATTTTGAACTGAGCAATAGTGACAGTGGCCAGTCTCAGGTTTCAAAACGACCCTCTCGTCGATTTAGAAATGGAAGTTACCGCCCCATATGTCATTTCTCTCGGTTCCTCAATGTATCAAATTATGACGGTGACGTGCGCCCCTAGAAAACTAATGTCTTCGCCATCCACCCTTAAACAAATCGAACTTGGTAGTGCTCATTAAGGAGTATGTTCCATGCTTGTCGTTGGTCAGGATACGGTAGTTCATAAGACAGCACTTCTCAAATGCAAGTTTCCTTAAAGCATGAGTACCGTTGGCAGTAACGTGCAGATAGAGGGCACTGTTTACAAGGCCAGGCGAGGATCCAACTAGCGTGGCGGCATTCGCCACAGCCATGATCAGACCACCGGACGGCCACGCCCCCGCCTCTACCCCTCCCCCTCGCGACTGTAAACCACGCAGGACTCTGTGCGCACCAGCGGCCACCGCGACCGGCGGCAGATGACGCCACAGGACACGGAGAGCGCTGTTGGTGGTGGATTTCGGACGCACATCGGTGCGCCGATGACGTCATGGTGATGTCATATACCGTGGGAGGCGGCTGTGATAATACACAGCTGAGCCGTTACTGCCGCCTGATGAGGGCCGGGGGTGACTGGCGCCGGCACGGTCTCAGCGTCTGCGGAACAGGGCGGAGCTTGTTGCGCGCTCCGATGAAGTTTGACGCGCCGGACCCTTGGAAGAACAGTGCGGCAGGCGGTGCCTCTCTGCGGCCCGCCGCCGCCGAGCCGATCCGACCGGCTCTCGGCCGGCCTCGGCCGCCAGACAGCCAGGCACCATCGGGACGACTGTATTAGCTCCAAAAGAGGTGGCGGGCACAACAATCCGAGGGGCAGCCCCACGAGCCAGCGAGGGTGCTGCAGGGCGCGGCCGCGGCGTGCGCGCGCCCACGCGGCCGACAACATTGTTAGAGGTACTGTGCGGGCGCCGACACGCGGCCATCGACTACAAACAACCGTAGATAAATTATACAACTCCACCATCATGTTAGTGACGGGCGTGGCACGCACGCACGAGGCGTCCAGGCAGCCTCACGGGCGCCCACCTACCCGGCCCGACAGAGGCAGGCGGGCCAGAACGGCGCGCGCGTGGGCGGGATGGCGGCGATTATGACTAGTCGACTGGCGGCCGGGCGTCGACACCACAGCAATATGGCGACCGGCGCACCGCGCCGCGTTCGTCGCACAGGTAACGCCGGCCCCGCGTCTTGAGCGATCTCACAATTAGCAGTATGACATGATATGAAAGACGACATGCAAATGCTACGGTGGTGGCGGCCGGCGCCGCGCGGGCCCGCTAGGTGAGGACGGTGGCGCCCTGAAGACTGGTCACCCACCTGCGGACACAGGGAGCGTCGTCAGCACGGCCGGTAAGGCTCACCAGCCCACCACAACCAGCGATAAAAACGATGGCGCGTGGTTTGTTTGCTGATGGGGCCTCCAGTCGACGCACTCCAGCCCACCCGTCTGGGGCTTCCGTGCACCGACCACTAAGCGGCCCTCGCATACAAAGCCGCGATGATAAAGCGCGGTAGGGCAGCTAGGCCGCATACCACGCGCTCCGGCAGCCTAAGCCACGGACTGCGCCACGATCACAAGCTGGTGTGCGCGCGCGTGTGGATGTCACCAGAGGGTCTGATGTCACGTTTTATGCAACGCCCATAAGCGCAACGCTATACTGTGCGAGGTGGCGGTGGGAGCTCATCGGGTACCCATAACTCGAGTTTGCATGCACGAGTTCTTGGGCCTTGAACGGCAAAAAGTGCCGTGACCGTCGGCAAAAGCGACACACATCTGAAGCAGAAGGGCCCGCGGACAGAAGGTACGAGAGGAAACTGACAGGGAGGGGGTCCAATCCGGCCCGCAGGTCAGGGGTGCTAGAGCTGATCATGCCGTCTGATTTCGGTATTCGCATACACGACCTTGCAAATGCGAATACTGGGCAGTTTACGGGCATTGACACATATAAATTTTGGTGGAAGCGTGCAAGGCATGACACACTCCCAAAGATTTTCAATTGCGTTGCAGACTGGGCAGAGCAGAAAGCTCATTGTTGAAGGTCAACACAAAACATGTCGTTTGCTCGCCACGTGCATGAATGGGACAGCACCAGGGACCGTGTGCAGTAAAAAATGATCCCATCCAGTACATGAGCAGCAAACCACAGCATTTCCTCCGCATTCTTACGAAATTGCCTCAAAGCAAGGCCTACCAGCTTGATGGTTTAAAATTTACGTGCATTGCTATTTTCAGCATGGTCGCCATGGCGACCTGGAACGAGATTGGTGCGCCAGTGCTAAGGTACAGTTTGCGTCGCTTGGGGGCTCAAGCCGGGCATAAGCGGATCACGATGCTCAATGTCATCCCTAATTAGGTCCCAGATTGATACTGGTTCTTTTGACAGTACACGTGAGCATTTTGAGAAGACGTTCGAGTGTTCTCGAACATCGATCCCTGATTTTTGTATTCGATTGTCACCAAGCACAATATCCGACCAACCTTACATTACGTCTATCGAAAACATCGAATATCGCCTAGATCTGATATTGCACCCAGCATCCGCATGCTCCGAATCGGGCCGTTCCGCTGCGGCGGGCAGGTATCCCTCCCGAGCTCTCCGCGCCCCAGCCTCCGGACCGTCAGCAGTAGTGCAGGCGGCCGGCTGATTGCTTCGTGCGGCTAAACCCTCGATAACCATCTCTGATTGATGAGATACCGCGCGAACGACACACAAGCGAGCCATTCGCACGCCTATCCATCAAAACGTGCTCCGGAGCGGAGTCGGCGCCGGCGCGCCGGCGCGCCGCTGACGCCGGTGCGTCGGCAGCGATGACGCCGGCGCGTCGGCCGCGGGGTCGGCGGAACGTACTTGTCGGCCAGAGCACGGCTGTCGGCGTGAAACACCAGCGGCGGCTGGTTCGGGTGCGTGAGCTGGAAGACCAGCTGCGAGTCCACGCCCTCATACGACCGCACCGGGGACTGCCGGCGGAGAGAGCGGGTCACGCACGGACGCGGCATACGCTCTCGCACAATCGAGCCGGCCGAGGGGGAAAGGGAGCGGTCACGCACGGGCAGGGCACTGCGCTGCACACAAGGCACGGCTCCGCACAACACAGCGAACACAGCGGGACCTACCGGTGGAGGGCAGCACAGCGCACGGACACGGTACTGTATTACATGGCACATCACGACACACGCAAGGGCGGCCGCCGGCGGGGATAAATCTAGCGCGGCAATATGAAGCATGGCGCTACAGCACGGCATGGCACAACTTTTTGACATTCGTTGGTACAGAGAATAAAGACGGCACGAAGACAAGTGAAAACATGTATGCTGGCAGTCGGCAGGGCCTAACAGTCGGAAGGGCCTACCAGTCGGAAGAACTGGACGGCCGGCAAGACATGTCAATCGGAAGAATGTGATGGTCGGCAATATATGACAATCGAAGGAACATATCTGTCGGCGGGATATGGCAATTGAAAGAACATGAAGGCCGGCAAGACATGACAGTCGGACGAAATCAAGAATGGGCAAGAGGGAGAGTGAAAACCGGCCGAATCTGAGTGCCGACGAAACTTGGTGCCGTCACTAGGCACGACATGAACGTCGGTGAGACACCAGAGTCCGTAGAACATGGGCACCTGTTACATGAGCACCAGTGGAAGACCACAACGCAACTTCCGGGAAGCGACAGGAAGGGAATCACTGCAAGGAAAACACGTTCAGTTGCGAATGCATGCAATCCGGGATGGAACATTTGGATTACGCCAGATATGTAATAATTCTCAACCTGAAGCAAGCAGCCCAATGAAATAAACCAAGGCGATCATAACAACAGGTTTTCCAACCGTGTTGAACTAAGAGCACGCCTGACTATCTCGAGACCAATCACTGAGCTTGAAGGAGAGATCAGGACCAATCACTGAGCTTGAAGGACAGGTCAGGACCATTCACTGAGCTTGAAGAATAGATCAGGACCAACCGCTGAGGTTGAAGATTAGATCATGCATGCAAAATAAACATTACCAGGAAAAGCTGGACAATCTTAATCCATTTTCTTACAGCCATTTTGGTGAGCAATTTTAGCCACCGAAGGCATCTCACGCTATCGTCATTGAAATTTTCAGCATATATGCTTCCGACCGCGGTTACAAAAATGCGGGATCGGTGGAACAAATGACATTGCAGGGAGATTTGCTATCGCATTCATCCCCCCACGAGAAAAGCATCTGTAAGTAATACAAATGCGAGTGATTATGCAACAATTCTCAGAAACATTCGCCGTGCTTCGAAACACCAATGCCCGCTGGTCGCGTATGGCTGTCGGAACCAATCCAGCTGATGACGAAAGCGCATCTGCGCCGTGACAAGGCCATTAGTTTTGGCGGCACACACATGGTGCGTCACCCTGGCGCCGCGCCGCGCCGTATGTGCCACACCCTGACGCCCCCTCCCTCCCCCCCCCCCCCCCCCGACCCCCAAGGGTGGTGACGGCCCTCGGGAACTCGATGTCGCAAGCGCCACAAGCTTCGGGCACGTATTGGGGATCCCAGGGAAGGCGGCAGGAGACAGGTGTCGGGACATAGGCAAACAACAAAAGAATTGACTCAAGCATAAAATCTGCAGCTCTTCGCGCGAAAATACACCAGATTCACAGTCGACCATTTGGACAGCCAACTGTTACTTGACGCTACTTGATATAGGACTATTACTTGATAGAAACCATACGTACCCTCAGAAAACTCCTCTATCGCCGAAAATGGCGTGCACTTCTATGATCGGAAAAGCAATGACGTAGATGGCGCTCCTAACTCTTCCAGCAGTTTGCGCCAGGCGGAAGCCATTTCATTACTATGTTATCAGGTGCGCAGCCAGAGTGTTGGTTAAGGGGGAGGGAGGAGGCACAGAGCAGGGGTACGTGGCCCACATGTCCCCTGGCTGCGCCCCTGCACGCTATTGATCTTACCATCAGAAAACTCCTCCGTCACTATTACTGTGAAGGTGAATAACTGTCATAAAGGGTTAACGGCTACCGGACAGCTCTCATTCAGAGCTTTGGCGAACTGGAGCCTTTTCAATAGATTTGGGTGCGCTGGAGAAATTTGACAGAACATTGGACACTTAACTTTACAGAGGTGCCATCATACTCGACGCAGCCATGACTTCCACACCAGGTTTGAGCCCATAATACGGCAAGACAAATGCTGCCCACTTTGCAGCGCGACACGAGGCGCCGGCTAAGCCAGCGCAAGCTAGTTTGATGAGGCTCCAAGAAAACCTGGCGATTTAATGGCCGCTTCGGTGATGGCCACTTCAGTGCTATCAACATCCGTTCCTGGGTGCTGATAATATACGGCCGGCGCCAAGTGCCATCGACCCCAGATGGGCGGCATCAGAGCGCTGGTTCGGAGCCGCCGGGCGGGCCTGACCCGACCGGTCTCGGTCTCGGTCTCGCCCTTCCCCCTTCCCCCAGCCTCCTCCGCATTAGTGTGACGGCTGGCCGGTCCGCTAGGCGGTGGCGGGGGGGGGGGGGGGGACACCGCCCAGCCGGTTCGCCCCGCACGCCTCCGCTCCCGGCGCCTCGTTCGGACACAGGGCCGTGGCCAGAAGTCAGCCCGCAGTGGCCTGCCACGCCGCCGGCCTCGTCAGGCGAGCAGGACGCGCCGAGGACCGGAGACGGACGCCCGGCGCCGCATCTTCCGGGCCATTACTTCGCCGGCCGCAGATTAAACCGCTGAAGTGTTCCGTCGGACCGCGGCTCGGGCCGCGGGAGAGAGACGGATGGCTCGTGGACAAAACATAACAAGGCATCGGATGAGCAACAAAGCCATCGCAGCTCCATTGCCCCAGCATATACCCTGTCGATAGAGCTCGCTTGTCGGCGCTGCCGGCCTCCTGACGGCGCCGGCGATCAATACAAGCCGTCAAAACCGCCGCCCACACCGGCGGCAGGCACGTGAAAATGAGAGGCCCGCGTACGCACACAGCCGACGCGGGTGACGCAGCAGCACTCTCCCAGCTGACGTCAGCCTTGTGTGGCCCGGCACGCTTTCGGGCAGCAGCGGACAGCCAGCCATCCATGGGCTGTTATAGTGCCGAGTGTTATGAACTGAGCAGACGTATGTGAACTTTGGCCGCGACCGAACACCAGTGACAGGTACCCGTCGGACGAAAGACAGCGTCGGCGATATCTCTCGCTTACACAGCGAGAGAGATCCCGTAGGCGTGAGGTGTTGCGAGTATTCCACACCCCAGCTGCAGCGGCTCCACCCAGCGTCCATGACCACACTCTTCACAGCTAACCAACCCACTTCAGGCGTCCCCTGTGGGAGTGTCGCGGCGCGCCTCGACCGCGTGCGCCTGCGCCGGGCCCCTTTCCCGGGGTGGCATGCTTACGTCTTTCATGGGTTCCACCCGGTAGCCGAGCACGCACAGGCCGTCCATGGCGACCACGTCCTGCGACGCCCTGTACATGTAGAGCACTCGGTCGCGCAGCACGAACCAGAAGCGCTTCCACTGTTTGCGCGAGCGCCGCTGCAGGCAGCCGCTCATCTGGCAGCCGGCCACGCTGGCGCTGACCTAGGGTCACCGGCCGGCCGCGTTAGTAGGGCGCACATGCACACTCGCCACACGCTGCGGCCCCCCGCTCCAAACACGACACATTGACAGGGCTCGGCCAGGCGGGGATCCATGCCGCTGGAATGGACGCCGACAGACGGCATTCAGCTTCTGGGGAAGGGGTTCACTCGAGCGCCGTGCCAGTGCCGATATGTGCCCGGTGTTTGGAGCGGGACTCCGGCGGGCGACGAGATCGTGCCGTCACGAGGCACGCGTCCCGGGGCGTGCCCTGTGAAGTCACAACCGTCGTCACCAAGCCAGGTCAGGTGGGGATGGGCCCAGCGTGGCGCTCCCGATTCGGCGCAACATGCTGAGGCAACGCGGCTCACTCAACACACACACGCACACTCGTGGGAGCCACGACAAAACGGAACAAGGCAAACTGCCAAAAAAAGCAACTTGAAATGCCTATGCGTAAAATACGAAATGGTTTAATATACAAACCTACAAAAGGCAGCATGGCGTTTAGCAAAAGGGTTTGCCTACGCGGACTCAAATGTTAAGACGCTGCACAAAGGCTATGAGACCCAACTGATCGGCAAAACCTGTATCTGGGGGCAGACCACTGCTAAAAACTGTATGGCAGGTGCGGCATGGTCACTATGTAGGTTGCAAATAAATGAAATACTGCGTTACGTGTTCTCAAGTCCTTTATTACTCTGATGTTTCAGTGTGCTGATGGCGATGGCATTTAAACTTCAGTGTGCTGACAGCATTTAAACCTTGTTTACCCAGAAGTCCAAAAATCCCACTAAATATGAATATGGTGCCGTTCCGCAAGCAGCGTCCTCTGGTCTATTCAACGTGCACTGCTACAGCCTATTTCACCACAAGTTTGCCGTCCTGCGCCATCTATTGTCTGCGAAGGGTACACGCTAAATAATCCCAGAGCCGACACCGTTGCTACAGCACGTACATACCTCCAGTCGCTTTGGGACCCTCCTCAAAGCCTTTCTGCCCACCGTCCCTGGCGAGGACCTCCTTGATTGAGATGTGTTCTGTGGGTCTACGTCTGCATCTTCCAAGTCTACAACAAAATGAAAGCGGTCCGTAAAAACACGAGCAAGGCCAAGCACAGCATCGAACGAAAAATGCGAGCACATGAGGCGACCGGGGCAAGGCTGTCGAAACAGCGGCGGGGCAGCTGAACACACACCGCGCGGCATCAGCAGACGTAGACGAGCGGCGCAGCAGCGGCCCTGCTCGCCACAGAGCGGGCTGACGTGTGAGGCAGAAGCTGGACCACCAGAACAGTCGGACCGCGCGGCCGCTCCGCGTCAGGCCCGGCCTCGTTCTCCACCGAACACATTTCAAAGGCAGCACGCTCACCCACGCCGCTCCAAGACGGTCGAGAATGTGCATACTTGTCGCGGATTATCCCGCGCGCATTTGAAAGCGTCATCGGTTTTTGCTTGTGACGCAAGACTTCGGAACTGCAGTACCAGCGGGCAGTCCCAAATCGGCGCACACAAGGGCCCGGCATGGCGAGCCTCAGGCTTCCTCAGCGCCAGGAAGTGTCGGCCTGCGTCCAATGCGATGAAAGCTGCTACTCATGCCGGTGCCTGGCACACCATGCTGGCAGATGCTCGGGGTATGCTCTTCTCAGTGAACTTATGTCAGCGGAAGCGAGCTTTTAGAAGCTAGTAGCCCGTTTCAGAGAACGAAAAAATCCGGTTCAGCCCACGTCACGGGCATTCGCAGATCCCTGCCGTAACTTCGTTCCTCCAAACCCGCACATCTCAATCCCAGGCTCCTTCTCAAAACAAGAAATCACTCTGGGTAAAAAGGCGAGCAGCATCTTCATTCCAAACAGCCGTGGGCAAAACTAACGCCACCCACGCCCACCGACCGCCCAGCCCCTCCCCCCACCCCCATTCGCTGAACGGGCCCACACGACGCATCCCGGCGAAGGCGGTGGGGACGACGGTCAGGACGCCACCGCGGCGTCCGAGGCCCGTGAGCAACAGCCCGCCGCCGGCCCTCCGACAGAGGGGTTCAGACCGCGGCGTCGCCGCCGGCCCGGCGAGAGCTGCGGGCCCAGCCGCCGCGGCAGCCGAGCTCTGGAGGCTCCAGCAGCGGCGAGAGACCTCCCACAGCCCACCCACTCAGCTCAGCACCGCTACCTGTTCAGAGGGGTGGCCTCTGTCAGGGCGGCCCGCGCCGCCGTCCGCTCGAGAGGAATAGGTCCTCCTTCAAAACGCCCGGCGATTACAAGGATCAGCTTCGACGACCCGCGCCCATTGAGCTGGCTGTCCCGAGAGGCAACTGCCACCACTCCTCGCCTCGAGCGGAGACCAGAGCTGGAGAGGCCGCAAAGTGGGGAGTGAGAGGCGGGCGGAGAGACCTGCGCCTACGAGGAGGCGCGGACCGGCTGACCCACTCCCGACGGGCGACGGTCCGCCCGGGCTGGGACGGGGCGGGGCGGGGCGGGGCGCGAGCCAGGGGCGGGGGCGGCTCTTTCGACCGGGCTGTCCGGCACAGCCGCCAACACAACACCTGGCCCGCCCGTTTCGGCGGCATAACGGCCGCCGCGCCGCTGGCAGCCGACACAGGGCGCCAGCCTCTCAAAAGAGCCCCATAAACATCGGCGGCGGCTGGCGACGGGCCAGGTCTGTTTGGCGCGGCGCGGCGCCGCGCGGCGCCGCCGGGCCGCCGCCCTCCGGGCGCGCGCCCGCCGGCCCCGTCCGGCGCCCCGGCGGCGCCGCGCCGGCTGTCGCCGCGCCGGGCAGCGGCCGGACCGCGCCCCGCCCGGCGCACGCCGCCTCTGCCGGCCGCTGGGGTCACGGGCGGCGCCGCAGCCGCAGCACTGCCCGCCGCCGGCCGCGGCCGTGTTAAGTGCCAGGACGCTTCCCCGCTCGTTGGCCGAGACGGCACTGACGAGCACAATCCGCAGCCGTGCTCCTGTCCCATACTGCATCGGAAGGACAATGACGGTCCGGGCAATGACAATGCACGGACAGCCCTGTATCCGTCAGTCGCACGGCGCCAACATGAGACGTTACGAAACAGCTGCGACGTTGCACGTTGCGACGAAACCCGGTTTGGCGGCGCGTCGCAAGGCCCTGGAAAAGCCTTACGTCGCGCGGCGCAATTGATCTAATTAGTCCAAGAGGATTAGCAGCGGCGGTCGCATGTCGGCTCATGGTCTGTTACCACTCACGTTGTACACTGCTGGTATTTCCTGATCTGAGGCGTTCGGCCTTTAAGCGCTACTGTTTGTTAAACAATACAATGACAATGGTGCTGCTCACAAGACATCTTTGACGCGGAGTCGTTAAACAATAATGTTTGCCGACGCCCCAAAAGATCGAGTGTTCGCTGCTCACAGGGACACTGCGGCGTGCATCGCCGATACATTAGTTTAAAAATTCAATGACGATTGCTTCACTAGCAGAACAGCTATGCGGTAGTGAAGCGAACTGCCGAATTCAAACGTGAAGACAAGACTGCTGTGCCCGATGTGTGCCGACGACCAGCGCAACGAGCCTGCTGTCTGGTACGCTCATCTGTGAGCGACTCGACCTTTTCTCAGTTGTTTGCTTGCTGGCTGCCGGTGGTTGTCACTGCTTGCTTTTCGACGGCTGTACGCTACTTCATGACTAGTGGCGCCTGCTGCTGTTGTGAGGCGTCATTCGGCTGCTGGCCGCTGATGTGAGGAGCTGCTTCCTCGCAGACTGCTGTTGTGTGGCGCTGTCTGCCTGCTAGCTGCTGGCTCACAGCCTGCTGTTGTGAGGCGCTGTTTGGCTGCTGGCAGCTGTTGTGAGGCGCTGCTTCCTCGCAGGCTGCTGTTGTGAGGCGCTGTTTGGCTGCTGGCAGCTGTTGTGAGGCGCTGCTTCCTCGCAGGCTGCTGTTGTGAGGCGCTGTTTGGCTGCTGGCCGGTCCGTCGGCGGCCCGGAGGCGGTCGGCGGCCACCACCGATCGATGCCAGCGGCAGTGTGCCATTCGCAGCCGACCGCTCTCCACAGTCTCTCCCGGCCTCTCCCCAGCCTCCTCCGGCCTCTCCTCAGCCTCCACCGGCCTCTTCCCACCCTTCCCCGGGCTCTCCCCGGACTCAACCCAGTCCCATCAGTCTCCTGCGGCCTCTCCCCAGTCTTCCCAGGCCCCTCTCCCACCTGTCTTTAGCCTTGCCCGACCTATCCCCAACGTCTCACGGCCACTTCCCAACCACTCTGTCTCTCCCCGGCCTCCTCAGCCTCCCCGGCCTCTCTCCAGCCTCCCCTGGCCTCCTCGCGGCCTCCCGGCCTCTCCCAGCCTGCGTCACATCGCCCACGCTGCTCTCCGATCCTCGCGTGCTCTCATTCTGTGACTTTCGTTTCCTTCCTCTTCCTCCCCTCACTCTAACCCTCCTTCTCTTTCACAACTTCTTGCTCAATCTGCATCGTCTTTTCACGTTCAATCCCTGTACATCGGGACCTGTGAGCTGTTGCAATACGTTATCTCCTATCATACACATCTCCGGCCTGTTGCTTCCATGCCATGTCAACACATTCCCCTCCCTTGGCGTTCAGTTTTAGCACCACCCACTCCCTCTCTCTTGACATGCCCTCTCTCCGCTCTCTAGTTCCTCTGGGCCCCGCTGGCGGGCCGGCGCCGTCTCCGGCGGCCGCTGCTGTCCGTTCGGACCAGTCAGCCGGCCGGCGCAGCTCCAGATCACTTTCCGCCGCCGCGCCCCGCCACGCGCCGCCAGTCCCCGCCCAGCATGCGTCGACAAGCGTCATTATTTGTATGTTGATACAGGGATCAGTTGCCGGCGTCGGCCTCCATTATTAATGACAGGGCCCGAAGGCAACGACCACCTCCCCCGCCCCCGCCCCCGTCCGGCGCTACGGCAGCCACCTCGTCCTGCCACAGCCCTGTGTCGCGCTGGAGGGCTGCTGGGTGGCGGTCGGGGCCAGGTTTCTGCTGCCACTCGAACGTGTGAGTGACACTCCCTGGAAGTGTTGGCCCATCGAGAAGTGCCGAAGGTGGAGGACCAGACCTTTCGGTGAGCTGGCGCCGCTGCCAGACGCTTCCGAGACCTGGCGCCCTGTGCTGGTCACCTCCACATCTAGTAGCGACGCGTGTTTGCAATGAGATCTACCCCGGCCTTGCCACCGTTTCGGATTGCGCTGGGTTGGAACCAGAGTTTTTGCCCAGTAGAACATACGCTACGGACTTTGACCACATCACGCGAGTTTTTGCGAATACGGGGCAGCTTTCTGGGGATAATTTCGCATCGAGGGCGCTAATGGGCGATTAGCGTGTCAACATGTCAGGTCACGGACACAAGGCTCGCGTGAGCTCGGCCATTCCCGGAACAAACAACACCACTCTGACTACCCTGGCTTGCGTAACACGTTACACCTACATCGCTGGCTGGCGTGTGCAGCCGGGTGTCTTCCCGGAGACCAGCCGGCAGCAGCGAGGGCACCTGTCCCTGGGGCTGCGGAGCCGCCGTCCCGTGACTACTCGTCAACCTTCGCCTCCTTTTCTGCGCACACCGCGGGCTTCGCCAAGCGACGGCGACTGCGCGATCACAGGTGGAGAACCGCGCCGATCGCCTCGCTCACCCCCAGCCACCTCCACCACGCGCGGCCGGGGTCCGGCCAGCGCCCCCCGGACCGGGCCGGAACGAAACCCCGCACCGGCTCCTCGGAAGCCGTCGCTCTCTCGCTCTCTCTCGCTGTCGCCGATGGCCGGGCGTGTTTTTGCTCGTTTGACAGCGGCGTCACGTTTGATGGGCCGCCGGCGGCGGCGGCGGCTGCCCCAGCGCCGCCGCCCCCTGGCTGCACCCACTGCGCCGGCGGACGCGCGGCCGCTACCTTTCTGAAGCGCGTCGAGGCAGACGTCGCAGACCCGTGCGGCGCAGTTGTGCTGGTACTTGAGCGGCGCCTTCCCCAGCGAGCAGTCGCCGCACACCACCTGGCGGCGAGCGCAGAGTCACATGGGCGGCCGAGCAAAGGTGAGCGCACACAAGCGCCACGGACAAGACGGACAGGCCGACAGACGCACGGCAAGACGCGTACAGGCTGAGCCGGCGAACCGCCGGCATTCTGATGGCGAGCGGCGAGTGCACGCCGCTTCCGCCGCGGCTGCACATTCGGCGTAGCAGGCATCGTTGCAGCGGGCCGTCACCGCTTTGTCACGTTACGGCCGCACATGGGCCCGCTCCCACACCGTCTGATGGCGTTCGTTACTGGGGCTGAGGCGCCCGTCTCCGCCGAGTAAGGCTCTTAATGGGACCGTGGGCTCGGCGCTATCTTATCGCGGCACAAAACGGCGCCAATCTTACGTCTGGTGTGTCAACACGAGCGCCCAGTGAAGGACCACAACGCGCACCAATTATCGATAGCTATCGCGACCCGGCGAAATTCCTCACCGGTGTACACACAAACGCAAACAGGTTACACAACTGCACCCACGGCTATCGTGGAGTAGGAACGTTCGACAATCCCGAGCCCTCCCAGCACGGCTCGCAGCATGCATTTGATCAGCGCGGCACAACGTACAAGTCCTAGGTGAGGCGAAGCGAGGCAAATGGTTTGCGTCGTTCGATTAGCGCATAGTCTGGGACAATATTCGTGATAGCCGTTGGTTTGAGAACATGCCAACTGCTGTCGGTGCTTTGCAAAACAGCACTGGAATCGATGCCACAACATAACACAAATTAAGCTAATTAGCTTGCTTAGCACATGTTCTGACAACGTTTCGTTACTGGCATTCTTTTTCTTCATCGGCATGCAATTGACAAGTTCTCGCCATAATTGTCTTACAATGACCAAGCACACCGAGATTAATCTGCACGTCCGGCTAAGCATCTGTGTGACGTCACGCAACATCTTCGCCGTCCAGCTCACGGCGAACGGCCAACACGAGCCGGGTGTCACGTCACGCCACGCAGGTGCTGTGCCGTCGCACTGTTCAAACACGTCCCGGTGACCGCCGCGGATGCGTGCGGGCGCGCTGCCGCGGGGAGGAGGAGGGGGAGGCGCGCGGCGCCCCGTACCTTGCCGCAGGCGCGGCAGTGGTGCCGCCGGTTGGTGACGGTGAACTCGGCCGTGCAGAGCTGGCACATGCTGGCGCGGCTGTCCGGCACCCAGACCGGGGCCTGCGGCGCACAGACACACACTCTCTAGTGGGCTGCACACGCACGTGACGAGCAGTAGGAGGATGAGCAGCGGGGTTCGCACGGCAAACGGTACGCAACGGGGTCAGCATCGGCGCACACGAAGCCGGCGGAGCCGCGCAGCAGGCAGTCGCCACGCAGCCGACGGGACGTCACCATGTTAGCGCGGGAACACGGGGACGGCGTCGCCACAGCCTAGCGACGAGCTGCGGCACGAAAGGTCGGCTAAAAGAGTCGGCACGGCCGCACGACAAACACGGTCGTCTAGCAGATCGAAGACAAACAGTGTCGCCACACTCCGGCGCGGCGCACACAAACAGGGTGGGCGGGGTGGCACGCACGCACATGCGGGCGGCGGTGCCCCGGACCGGGCGGTCGTTAGCGACCGGCACCCTGGGGTGGGGGGCTGACCCTCCGAGGCTCCGCGGACCGATCCGTCCCGGTCGCAGCGGGGAGGAGGTCATTCAGGCGGAGCCGCACGAGGCCGAGGCGCGGATCCCAGCTGAGGCAGACGCATGGCTTCGCTCCTCAGGCAGGCGAGCAGATGAGTTCGATCTGGTGGAATATTGGGGCAAGGTCTGGGAAAGATGCCTGGATGTGTGATAATCCAGCTCAAATTTCCAGGACCTCAACTACACATGCGAGCGTAGTCGCGTCCGTCCGTGCCAGACGTGCCGCCAGCTGGCAGCGACACATTCTCAGATAATCAGAGACCGCCCGTGAATCCTCCTCGCCTCCTCGCTAAAAGGCCGCTAAAAGCCGCCGCTCCCTGCACGGAAAACCATCCGGAAACCCTCCTCACGCGCCGGCGCCATTTCAAAAACGACCTGGCCAGTGCCATGGGCTGCCGCGAATCCGCAGCAACGTTATAATTCCCGCGGCGACGGCCGACGGCCGGCCGGCACCCGCCTCCGCTGAATACGAAGCGGACTCCGCACCGGCCGCCGTCGTGTCCACGTGATCACGTGGCCGGCGGCAGCGCGGCACGGCGCGGCGCGGCTGCGGCGACATTGTCGCCGGCTCGCCGCAAGTGCCGTCCGCCACTTCCGGAGGCGGGCGGGCGGGCGGGCGGGCGCGACCACGCCCTGCGCGCGGCGGCGGTGCGGCCGGCGGTGGGGCGGCCAGGTGCGCCGGCGGAGGAGCGCGCCGCCCGGCCCGGCCGTGACGGCGCAGCGCCGCTCGATACTCGCCCGGTGACGTCACGCGACGCACGGCCGGCCGGCGGCCCGGGGCGCCGGGCACCTCCGACTCGGGAGACGGCCGCCTCTCAAGCCCGGGACGCGGTGGTTCCCACTGCCCGGTACTCAGCGGGACATTGTGGCACTTCATGCCGGCCCCGGCCGCGTTGCAGCGGTTGTCCCGGCTGGACACGCGGCGGGCCACGGCGTTGCGCCTTGCCGACTGCTCCACTGAGCGGCCTGTGAGCACTCCACCCGGGGACGCACGCAGCACGCACGCTAGACCGCTGACGCCGTAGCGGCCACGGAGCGGGAGGGGGGGGGGGGGGGCGGATATGAGATCACAGCCTGAGGGAGTCCCCGATGCCCCTCAGCTTCCGACCGAGCCGCTCAGGCCTCCGACTACAGACTGGCCCCGACCTCGGGAGCACAGCCGGTCACGCCCCGGCTCCGTGCATCGGCGCACGTCAACATAAGGCTCGCCGTGTATCCCGTTGACCACCACAATTCGCAACACCGGCACCAGCCCGCCGGCACCGACAGAAGGCAGGTCAGTCCAGGAGACCGGTAGCCCGGCTGACCGCTCGTCTCAATACCCAACATCTGGCGAGGCGACCGGCTGATGACTAACCCAGCGTGTGGGGGTGGGGGTGGGGGGAGGGAACATCGCAACCATGCGCCACCTGAGCGGCACAGCTGTGATGACGCCGAGCTTCAAAATCGATCACGAGATCTCGGCCCGGCGTAGCGGAGCTGCTGCGTATCCGCTGCAGGGCACGTCAGAGGGGCGAGTGTGACTCAGGGCGGACGTGCCCCGCGTCGCCGTCTGATGCACGGGGAGCGTCAGACGGCGCGTCAATTTCATGCGAAATTGACTTCGAAATAGAATAATTGCCAGACATTAGTGAAATGCACAGCACATGTACCTCAAAAGGGTCACACTTCTTGTCGGATAAGTGCGTAAAGTTTATTCGTTTAGTAAAAGCCCTACGCTTTTATGGTTCCCCGATCCTAGAAATACGGCCACCAGCATGACGAACAGATTACGAGGTCCATTTCTGTGACTGTCTTTTCCAGACCATCTGAATGACAAACTGCGCTATCGTATAGCCCACCTGATTGACCAAAACACCACGACAGTCACCTTTTTCAGGTAGCTAAAATATCACAAACGCAAGGAATGCTCTAGAAGGGAGACGCCGTGATGACCTCTTTCAGACAGCTTAATACCGTGGTCACGGGAAGCCTTGCTTGGCGGACCCATCGAGCTACCCTGCTTAGGCTATCACAGCTAGATAAATCGCTGATCACAGAGAAGGGTTCGCTGAACCGTCATGCAAAACAGGCGTAAATCATGACGAAACCCGGCAGCCAGCTCTGTCGGAAGATGGGTCTGTTCAGAAGGTGTGCCGGTGACGCGGCCGCGGCGGCATTGCCGCCGGCGCGCCGCGATCATCGGTGACCCCCTCCAGCACTCCGTGTCAGCCGGAGGCGCGAGACCGCCGCGTCCAGCGCTGGACCTGTCCTCCGCTTGGGGGCTGCTCGGCCGGGCTCCGTGAGCGGGCCATGCTGGCCAACACCACGCCGGCCAACTTGCCGGACGTAGCTCGGCGGCGTGTGTGCAGTGTTCGCGGGTCGTGCCGCTGACAGGCCGAGGCGCTGTCAGCGCCACACCCCCACGCCAGAGCCTGGGCTCCCCTCTGCACCGCCCACCGGGGGCGGCGATGAGGCCGCCCGCCTCCGAGCCCAGCCCGACCCAGCTCCAGCAACACGTGTTGCAGTGTTGCGCGCCTCTGCGGCCGGGCGGCGACCAACGCTCCGCCGACCGCGGCCAGTGCTAGCCGGACGGGGCGGCGGCAGGACACGCGGCGGCGTGCATCAGCTCAATGAGGCGCGGCGACCGTCGCCGGACAATGGCCGGCCGAGCGGCCGCCGGAGGTGGCGCGGAGGGGCGCCCCCCGGGCGGCGCGGGTCGGGCGCTGGCAGGCAGAGGGCCGCCACCGCCGCCGCTACCGCGCGATGATTATAATCTCCCGAGCCTAGGCGTCTCTCATCCACCCCGCCAACAGCTGAAAACCGGCGTGTGCGACGGTGCAAACGAGCCAGTTTGAAGCCCGTCAGATGTCTGGACAGCTTGTCGCTGGGGTCGTAGGTCATAACCAGTCTGGGTGCCCGCCCGGACACCCCGTGTAGGCCCAGAGGACACGACAGGCCCGGGTCACGGGACGACATCGGCTAATGGCCCTGTGCCACAAACGGCCTGCCTGGATCACGGGAGCTGTCCATGGCTTGGATCGGACGGGACCAGTCCGGGGATCATATGAGGTAAGCAGTCTGGACTGCAGGCAGCGGAGGACCGGTCCTGAGCCGCCGGCAGAGGACCGGTCTCGAGCCGTGTGAGAGCACCGGGCGGGTGCCCGTGAAAGTGGCCAGTGGCGCCGGTCGATACAGGGCCGGCCGCCTGCCGCCACCAGCTGGCGCCATCGGCGCTCGGACACAAGTCGCACAGAAGCCGGACAGGGGCGCGAGAGGGCAGTGACACGGGAGCCGGACACGGGCACGGGAGACGGACAGAGGTGGGGCAGCACCGGACAGACGTAGGACAGTCCAGGACAGGGGGAGACGAGCCGGAGAGGAGCCGGACAAAACCGAACCACACTGGACACCAGGCGAACACGGCTCGGACAGTGCCGGACAGAAGCCAGACAGCAGCCAGGCAACCGCAGCGGGACGGCGCCACCGTAGCCCTGTTCGTTGGGAGGTCGTTTACAGACTGTCCACTCCGGATACTTACATTCAGAGCGTCGACAAACAGCTGCACATATTTGTGCGATTTAAAGAATACCGCCGGGCTCAAGCCAGTGGAGGGCTCGCCAAAAGCTCCAGTGATGCAACTGTGTAAACGTCAGTTACACAGCTCCTAGGGGAGCACTACACAATACGGCTTTGTGGACAGCGCCAGCTGGAGCGGGGCCAGTACAGGATAAACAGACGAGCACCAGCCTACGGCCAACGGACCGTAAAGGCAAGGACAGGGGCGTCGTCCGGCCGTGAAGCCAGGCTGAGATGGTTGCGTTAAACTGATACGGAGAGAGCCGTCTCGAAAGCTACGAACTGCAGTCTAGGTTTGGGTTCGACGGCCAGGAGCCCAAACGCTTGAACAAATTAGCGAAAACGGTGAGCAAATGCAGTGTCGCACCGGGGTATTGAGCTGTGACAGCCAGCTGGCAGCTCATTACCTGGGCAGGTGCAGAGACATAGGGGAATTTGTTGTTATTTGTTGTTAATCGGTGTTTTAGGGCGCGCCGACTGCGGTGGTCATTTGGCGCCCATAACACATGGGGGGATTATCTGCACGCAAAATTAACCTATGGGCAGATACAATAAAACGACCCTTGGGCTGCAAATGTCGCGCTCGAAACATGCATCTAAAAAACTCTGTACAGATAGAGTTGGCAGTCGACCTGGAGCAGCACGTGGGTCACTTGTTACGTCGCAAACCCAGTGTCGCAACAATAAACTGTTGGGTCTTCATAAGCTTTTATGCGTCTCTGCATTGGCCAGTGTCGAAGGCTTGACGCGAATGTCTCATGCACCCACTAATTTATGCTTGGCAAGCGGCGGCTGGTTTTCACAAGCACCGGAACTTAACGGTATCATCGGAGGCATGCTAACGACATGCACACGAGCTTGAGTCACGCTCTCGCCAAACATCGCGTGGTGGGTGCAGCGAGAGTGACAACGAGGCACAGGCAAAAAATCCGGAACCGATTCGTGAGACAGAAGACTGAGCATTGAGGGGGA